GGGTCATACATTTGGACTCGATTGGAGCACTCTAAATGGGTCAAAGTGGGATTTTTCAAAATTTGCCCCTACCCAAAAGTTCGACCCAAATTGGGGGACATCAGAATTCGTTTTAGAGGTATGGTTCCTTCGGCAAAGTTTCTTATTTTGATCCCTAGAAAACGATTTTCACAGAGCAATGAGCGATTTTAAAATCGACCCGCCCTAGTCATTAATGATAGATTTCTATATCGTGGGATAGAGGTCAGACTAGACGAATTTTTACATCAACTGTGAGTAATCAACAATGATATAAAAACATGACAGACTTGATGTGTCATGATTGATCGGTTATTACATCAAATTTGATTGCACATTACTGATTTATATTTCTATCAAGGTTGATCACTCATAATTGTTGAAGATTTACATCACTGATGATTAAAATTTTAATGCTGAACTCAAAGGGAGTAAGCAGTCTAGCAATATGCCATAACGTATATGTTAGAAGGAGATGAAGCATCACACGTACACAAAAGTTTCCATCAGATTTTTCACACTGCCCCCTGCAAGAACAGTGACTATCATTTGACAAATCATTTGAGTGGCAAGACTGATAGAGATTTCTGTCACTGGCTACCTACAAGTTTCTATCAAATTCTAAAGGGCAGTGTGAAAAATCTGATGTAAACATTTGTGTACATGTGATCTTCCGTCTTCCTCCAACTTATGGCCTTATTTAATGGTCTCTTTTTAACCAACGCAAAATTTGCAAATGTGTTAGTAAGATAAATGAGAATGTGTTAGTTTCCACCACACAATTCTTGTAGGGCCCTTTAGAATTTGATAGAAACTTCCCTACAAGAATTGTGTGATGGAAACTAGCACATTCTCATTTACCTTACTAACACATTTGCAAATTTTGCGTTGGTTAAAAAGAGACCATTAAATAAGGCCATAAGTTGGAGGAAGACGGAAGATCACATGTACACAAATGTTTACATCAGATTTTTCACACTGCCCTTTAGAATTTGATAGAAACTTGTAGGTAGCCAGTGACAGAAATCTCTATCAGTCTTGCCACTCAAATGATTTGTCAAATGATAGTCACTGTTCTTGTAGGGTTGTAGGTAGCCAGTGACAGAAATCTCTATCAGTGTTGCTACTCAAATCATTTGTCAAATGATAGTCACTGTTCTTGCAGGGAATAAATGAAATCTCGATCGGCGATTACTGAAACGCAGCTAGCCACTGTATCCGCGAAAAAGCAATGTTGCCACTTTTTTTCATTAAACCATGTTCGAATCGTGCAAATTTTGAAAGATGACAGGGTTGCTTTTAGCATTTAGATTCTTAATGCAAAAATGGAGTTGCATTTAGGTGACGAATTTTGTATGGATAAATGTACATTTAGAGTAGCATTTTGACCTAAATGCGCTAAATGTGCTTTTACGCCTAAGCAAAAACAGCCCATAAGATGCTTGTAGGCAATTTTTGTAACATTTTTAACTCAGAATTCGCACAACAAACTTTGCAAATAGAAATGCAAATCAGAGCACAATATAAGTCGAACCTCACAGCTTGACGTTTGCTTTCAAACTCATAAATAAATAGTTATAAATAAATAAAGAAAAAATAAATGGTCAGTACTTGTAGTGTCCCTAATATGTGTACATATTACCTCGTAGGATTGTGTCAACCAGTATAAGGTTGTTTAGTGGTTTTCTCTCCCCTCTGCCGTCCCAGTTAAACTGCAGCAATGCCTCGTCCGAAAATAAATGTTTAATACCGCTGGCTACGTCCTCAAAAACACCTTTTATTTTTATGATATAAGTGGCCTTTTGAAAAATTTATGTAAAGCAATTAGAACGTGAAATATGTATTCCATAATATAATTCATTACCATGGCTTATGCATACTCTGGATCTTTTAATTTTGTTTCTATTAAATCCACAGCGCAACAGGACTGCAGTGGTAGAGAACTGGCGATGTCGATAAAATTTTTTAATATTGTATTCGCAAATCGGGGTTTCTTGCTCATGGCGTTATTAAAAGCTCTTTTCTTCTTTTTAAATGAAATATTTGATAAAACTTATATTTATTTTTCCACAGCACCTTGAGTTTTGAGCATCTTTTCGTTTTGCGTCTTTCTTTTTTCTGTTGATGTACGCAATTGAACTTCTTCAGTACCAAGAACTTTATAATACGGTATTATTTATTACGTTTATATATAAAAAATGTGATACCACAATAAAAACTTTTATTATTATATACTTTTGCTATGAGAGGTTCGAATAATGAAAAATTATCGTTAAAACTAATTAAGTTCAAAATTACATCCAAGTACTTCAGTACTCGACATTATTTGGCAGGTACAACTACTTTTGTTGACCACAAAATGCAGCCCTAGTGAATCTTGCGGTTACTATGGCAACCAACAACCGTTACTTCTATCAGCATTGACAGTGATTCGCTACAGGGCCAAACTGACATATACAATTTTGCATATGTGTTAGTTTTCGTTGCGAATGTGTTGGAGCTTCTGTGAATCGCGTCTTGTAGGGAATGCTAATAGCAACCCTGTCATCTTCAAAAATTTCCAAGATTCGAGCGTGGTTTAATGAGAAAAAGAGGCAACATTGCTTTTTCGCGTATACGGTTGCTAACTGCGTTTCAGTGATCGCCGATCGAGATTTCATTTATTATTTTACATTTTTTGGAAAAAGAAAAGTTGCACAAATTCAACATCGATGTGTTGATACCAAAGAACGTAGATAACAGGAAAGGACAACTCGTTATAATTGTGGCGAAAGTGCGCAACAGGGGCGTGCCTTCTCTTTTCATCCAATCAAAAAACGCGGTAGTGCAAAAGAGAAGGCACGCCCCTGTTGCGCACTTTCGCTACAAATATAACGAGTTGTCCCTTCTTGTTATCTACATTCTTTGTTGATACTTATAGAAATCTGACTCAATTTGTGATCAACTTTGTTTTTTCCTATTTAATTGAGAAAATTTAAATTGACAGCAACGACAAGTGAATATATCCACAAACAAATTTTCGGTTATAGTTAAAACAATTCAATTTTTGGTTTTGAATTTTTTGTTTAAAGTTTCTTTTTCCCTTTTCAGTAGGGTTTCTTGCACATTAAGTTCTCTGTGCGATCTTGATAGATACGGATCTGAATAACCGACTGGAACACGGCTGTTTGTCAAAAGCATACGATTTTGAACTCGCGTAAATGTACCTTTGCTAAATGCGATAGCATGAGCGCTCTTCGAAAAAATATATTCGGAAGTGCTAAATGTTGCATTTTAAATGCAGTAAAAACGCTGCATTACCGATAATTTGTAAACAGACAATTTTGTTACTAAATGTTTTACCATTTCCTGCCACCGCGATTCTAGGCAAGTTGGTGATGCAGTTAGAATATTCAGCTACGAAAATTGGTGGAAAATCTGGCATTGCATATTTCACGGGGCAATTTTTTGTTAACAGCTTATGAGATGGTGACAAAATTTACCGGTTATAAGAAGGCACAGAATGCGGAAAGGGTTTAAAAATTTACAGGGACTTTATTTATGTTATGGCCTGTTTTTGCTTACGCGTAAAAGCACATTTAGCGCATTTAGCTCTAAATGCTACTCTAAATGTACATTTATCCATACAAAATTCGTCAGCTAAATGCAACTAAATGCAACTCCATTTTTGCATTAAGAATCTAAATGCTAAAAGCAACCCTGTGATCTTCCAAAATTTCCACGATTCGAACATGGTTTAATGAGAAAAAGTGGCAACATTGCTTTTTCGCGTAAACAGTGGCTAGCTGCGTTTCAGTGATCGCCGATCAAGATTTCATTTATTATTTTACATTATTTGGATAAACAAAAGTTACGCAAATTCGACAACGATGTGATGCTGATAGAAATCTGGATCAATTTGTGATCAACTCTGTTTGTTTTGTTTCCTAATGAAGTGAGGAAATTTTAATTGACAGCAGCGACAAACCCTGCAAAAATCGTGGGACCATGTAGTCTATTTGTGGTAAATTGGAGTACTTACAAAAGTGTACCTCTGTCATGCTGTAGCGGACCAACTCGTGTCTTTGCGCCAGCTTATTGTTTGTTATCCTATCACTGCTCGTGTTTTAACGAAATGTAATTGAAGTTGAGCATTTGAAAGCACATTTGCATGTCTGGCTGTAGCCGAACGTGTAGAGGTGCTCGCTGTTAGTTCTTAGCTCCCAGCATGTTCGGGTTCGAATGCCGTCAGAGGCAACATGTAATTTTTAATTTTTGTCTTGGTTTTTATTAATTTCGAAAAAGCATTTGAGAAGTGAAGAACAAAAGCGTGTACAAACGAAAAAATATAACAACAATGCCATTGTTAATATGTTGGAGTAGTTTTGCGCTACTCTGATGTAATGCAGGGATGGAGTATATGGTCCTGCCCTAGGACATCGCAATGTTAATTGGACCATATTTTTTATATGAATTGTGCTTAAATTTGGCGTACTCCTTGGTCCTTAGGGAGTACTCTTTACACGCATGCATCGAGTAGTCGCCATTTTTGCAGGGAATTAATACATACACAAACAAATTTTTGGTTATGGTTAAAACAATTCGAGTTTTTGTATTGAATTTTTGGTTTAAAATGTAATTTTTCTTTTTCAGTAGGGTTTTTTGCACATTATCTTTTCCGTGAGATTTGATCGTAATAGATACGGATCTGAATAAGCGACTGGAACACGGCTCTTTGTCGAAAGCATACGATTTCGAACTCGCTTAAATTTACATTTGCTAAATGCGATAGCATGCACACTCTTCGAAAAAATATGTTCGAAAGCGCTAAATGTTGCATTTTAAATGCAGCAAAAACGCTGTATTACCAAAAAAGGGGTTTACAACTCAACTGCCTTTATTGCATACTGTAAACTGCCTATAATATATACCTTCATTTATTTTTTTACGTCCGGTAGCTTAGTTGCTTTTTATTGGTACAAAAGTTATCCCTACTGTGGCAACTTTATGAAAACAGCTGTAGATAATCATAGTCTTTATAAACATAGTTCTGCATATAGTAATTTTTATCGCAATTGTATTTATTTAAGTCGTAAATATTTTGCTTATAAATGAGCTTGGAATTGTGTAATTTCTGCTCGGCAATAAAAGTTTCGTTATAACCAAGAAATAGATACATTTATGGGTAAGTATGGTTCTTTTGCTGTTAGTATTAATTGTGGTATAATTCTAAGCAATTTATAAATCCAGTCTTAAAGAGGGGTTTTTTTATATTTTGTGCGTATATTTCAAACAAAAGCCAATAATACAATAGTTTTTAGTTATATGGTCCAAGCATAAACATCCGTAATTGTGCATTTTTGTATGTTTATGTGTATGTATATGTATTTATTTTCTGCAATGATAAAGGGTGCCTTAAAATGGTGGTAGTATGATTACTACATCAATTTATGAAAACAAAAACATTATTCAATAACTAGCAAATGCCTGGCTTGCTTCGCGACGCCTTATAAGAACTTTTGCTTTGACCTATACAAAAATAGTGTTGCTATGCAAAAACGGTTTGTAATGTAAAAACTATTGGTTTAGGTTGAAAGGATTGAATAGCGGACTCATGGGCCAATAATAATAGCGCTGAGATAACATTTGGGTTAAGTCCTAATCTCCTTCGAGGGTGGGCTTTAGTAGTCAGCCGCACCTTGTGTTTTGAGAAAACCAGGTGGAATTAACAAATGAAACTTGGTCAGTATGTTAAGGGAGGTATCCTCTAAAACATGTATAACTAAAAAATATAAATAATATCATTGTTTATAAGTTATTTGTTGTTAAAATTTCTTAAGTCGTTCCACTTGGTTTCCTTAACAAAAAAGCATTTGTGCATACTTTTATAT